CGGCCGCGGGTCCTGCGCCGCTTTGCTCCCCGTCTCCCTGGTCTGCTGGTTCCCCCAGCAGACGAGGGAGAGGGGGAGCAGCTTTTCTCGCCCCAGAGGAGGCGGGTGGCGGGACCAGGCGTCCCGCCGCTCGAGTCCTCCGGGGCGAGAAAATCCCCGTTCGTAACTGCGGATCCGACATAAGTCGGATCCGCGTAACTCGGGGACTACCTGTACTATCGTCTGCCTCATTTGCATATGGCTGATACTGTCCAGTTAGACATTTGGAGGTACATAGATTGGAAGCACTTTAGGTCAGGTCATTTTTTGTTCAGCATCTGCATAATAGAGCCATGGTCCATGACTCCTAGCTGCTCCTGCACAGCAAATAATAAATCAAATAATACATAAACACAAATTTCTCCCACCTCCATTTCCACATCAAAAGTTACATATGGGACACATCCAGCCCACTCAATAAGCCTCATTAACCCGGGTCCTACAATTAACAAGTATTTCTGCTGTTATACATCTATCTTGGTTTCTGCAAGTTCCACTCCAATTTATTTGAGGAAGTGGATTTCACCCACAAAAGCTCTTAGTACATATTTTTGTTAGTTTCTAAGGTGCCACAGGACTACTCGTTGTTTTTAAAGTTACAGACTAACACAGCTACCCCTCTGAGACTATATATTTGGGTTAGTCCATAAGGTGCCACAGGATTACTTGTTGTTTTCAAATAATATATATTCATAATGATATTCATCTTCATGAATGCAGCAGCAGACATGAGCCTCCAGGCCTCTTGGTTCTGACATGTGCATGAAATGATCATTCTGCCATCACTACAGAAGGGAAACAGCATGTTTCTCAGAGTGAGTCTAGACTACAGGGTTTTTTCAAAACAAGTAGACTTTTTTTCGAAAAAACTTCATCTGCATTTAGACTGCAGCCGAGTTCTTTCAAAAGTAAATCGAAAGAAAGAGGCAGTTTTTTCGATCGCAGTAAACCTCATTTTACGAGGAATAACGCCTTTTTGAAAAAGGTGCTATTGAATGCAATCTGTGCTTTTTCAAAAGGGAGCATCTAGACTGTCTTTCAAAAAAGTGGCTCGCTTTTTCATGCTTGTAATCTAGATGCTCTCTTTCGAAAGAGGCTTGTAGTCTAGAGGTAGCCTCAGAGATTTGCGTAGATATTGTAGATTCCTACCGATCATACATCTAGAGAAAAGCTATTGGAGCTGCAAAGCCAGAATGTTTTCTTGGTGAGTAATGTAGATCTTATGTACCTGGGTTTCTTCCAATATCCTGGGACAGGAGAATGAGGTTTATCCCTTATTAAAGTCCCATGCATGGATCAATGAACAGGCTTGAATGGGGTGACAGAGGGTTTACTTTGCAGCGAGGCAGAAGCTGATCAGGTATATTGCATTTACAAATGAGCTACTTCAGTGCACAAAAGCGCAGAACAGTGTTTTAGAGAAATGGAATGTGAAAACTTGCACAGTTCCTTTCAGGTGATGTGACACAGAAGTTTCCGTGCATGTGCAATGCCCTCAGAATCGTCATTTGTACCTTCTGAACTTGCAAACCTGTACATTTCACATGTGCAATATAAACTGATTACAGTCAGAAATAGGAATGTTAAGAAGTGTGTAATTTGTTAATTGTGTAGTCAAATTTTTTTTGCCAACTATATGATTAATTGATAAGGGTTAGCAGTGAAAGCACTCAGTCCTGGCTCGCGTTGGGTCCCAGCATCAACCCCACTGCAGCACTGCATTATTTGTGGACCGGAGAGCTGGCATGCAGGCAGGCTGGCTCAATCCCAGCTTGCACCAGGTCCTAGCATCAACCCCCACTTCAACTCTATAGTTTTTGGGGACTGGGGAGGAGCTGGTGCACAGGTGAGCTTGCTCAATCCCCTAATAATGCAGAGCAGCAGCAGAGATTGATGCCAGGCCTCCACCCTGGGGGAGAGGGAAAGCTTGCACTTTAAGGACCTGTTTCTAACAGACACTTACATGAGTAACTCTGCTCGCATGACTAGTCCCTTTAACTCTGAAGATTTGGGAGAAGTCTGTTGGGAGGCCAGAGAGAAGCTCACAATGCAAGATGAAGAATGAATCCCTATCTTACAACTTTCTGTGAAATCCATTCTACTTGCACTTTCAATTCCACTCTATTTGGACAATAAACATTGGGCAGAGTCTTGTTTTTTCTGGAAATGGGATGAGTTTCCAAACAAAGGGGGATACACTAAAAATCTGAATGCAGACGCATTAGCACATGGACTTTTTGCTTCCAATCACCTACTGGCAAGGAGTTGTTTTGACCTGCACTTGCCGTAAAACTGAAATTTCTCTGCTACAGCTTCACTGGCTCAATCCATCAGTAAGAAAAGGTAGTGCCCACGGATTTCTTGTAGGGCTCTCTCCTGTGCTGAACAAATACAAGGTTGTCCCTGGAGTACCTGTCTGGTTAAGGATGCAATTTTTTTAGCCATATAATGGTAAAGTCCCTACTGGGGCTATGTCTAAACTGCAGTCTTCCTGTGTGAGAAGTTTTTTTTCTGAAGAGATTTTCTGTAAAAACTTATTGCGCAACAACACGTCCACACTACAAAAGCACATAGCAAAAGCGATACTCTTTTGTGCAAGAGAACGTCCATATTGAAGGCTTCAATAACTGAGATATAGGTGAGAGGATTATTCTAGGAGGTGTGGGTGAGATTTTGTGGCCTGCACTGTGCAAGGGGGTCAGACTAGATGATCATAATGGTCCCTTCTGACCTTAAAGTCTATGAGTCTATATTGCATGGACGGTCTCTCGAAATAAAGCTCTGATTGCTATTCACAGAATAGCCACCAGAGTACCTGTGCTTTTTTGATTGTTTTTTTTTTGTACAAAAAACCCGTTGCCCATCCACACATACCTTTCTGCACAAGAACTCTTGCACAAAAAGGAGTTATTCCTTGTAGAAAGAGGAATACCTACATCACAAAACCCCTCTGCTCTTTTGATTTACTGTAGATTTACTTGTGCAAAAATGCGCTTGAGATGTGGATGCTCCGCAGGTTTTTGTGTAAAAAACTGCCAGCTGTGCACAAAAACCCGGTAGTGTAGACTTAGCTTGGAGATGCAGTTATACTGGTAGGAAAGTGGCTTCCCGTAAGGGTAGTTCTTTATAGCACCATCCTAGCAGAATAATTGCATCCACATGAAGGAGCACTGCACTGCGTTACATCCTAGCAGAATAATTGCATCCACATAAAGGAGCACTGCACTGCGTTAACTATGCACCTCCAACTTGTTAGTATAAACAAAGTCAGAGTGGAAAAGACACAGTTTTTAGAGTTTAAATAGGAAAGTTGGAGGGGAAACAAGACAAGCTCTCCCCACCCACTAGAGTTTTACACGGAACAAGGAAAGGATTGCAAAAGAGGTAGGTCGCTATTCAAAAGCTATCGAGTTACATGAAGAAACATGAATAGCATTTAAATGAGCCTCCTCACCTATTTTCCAACAGTATTGTCTATACAGCGGGGAAAAAAAAGCAGAGCTCAAGGACACCCTGGTTTTACAAACACGAAATTTTGGATTTTTGTGGCTGAACTTTTCACGTGCAAACTTTAGCTGTAGGATTGTTGTGCCTCTTTCCCCTCCCCATTTTCTGGAGATCAGCCAGCAGCAGGGAAATCCTCTGGGTAGAGGAGAGACAAGAGTCTGCAGCTCTGCTCAACCAGGAAGAGCTCCACCTTCGACAGAGCAAACAACAACCTCCCTTGGCTTGCTCGCTCGCCCAGTCTTCTTGTGCAACTGCACGACCACTATGATGCTGCCTAAGGCTGGCCCCAGCACTGGCCAGACCTGTGGGCTTGTGCTGATCTTCGCCGTGCTGCTGCAGACCATTTGCGTGGCGGTTACTTTCCTTTACTTCACTAACGAACTGAAACAGGTAAGCTCCGTTGCGGGGACCTAGCTGCTTAGCACCACCGCTGCTCAGTCTGCAGGCTGATTTCGCCAGCCTGCAGGCAGTGCCTCATTCTCGCTCTCCTTGCAGCTCTATCCAAGAAAAAATATGTCTCGTGTTTGCCCTGTCTGGTTTTAAAAAAGGTTGCTTATGTCACGGTAGTGGCCAAAGTCCCAGTGTTTACGGGGGCTCTAGGTGAACGGTGTGTTTATTTTAGCAGGAAAGCCTATGAGAAAGTCAGCTTTTGCTTTCATTGTAAGACAAAGAGTTGGGTACTGTTGGGTTGGTTTTGCTGCTTGGTTGAGGCTGTTTGCTTTTTCTGCAGAATATGAAGGTCGAGAAGAGAGAAGTTTTTAAAACCCACTTCATACTTTTGGGTTCCCCCCTCCCCAAACAGAAATATGCTTTTTAGAAATGTTTCAACGTTGCTCTTTCTTCCCTCCAATTTGTGCCTTGTCAGCACTGCTGGAGCATGAGTTTGCTCTCAGGGCTCAGTACAGCCAGCTTTCTCACAGCAGAGTCATGCAATCCACTGGCAAATAATGCATTTAGAAAATCTACGGTCAGAATACCTTTAAAAAATCTCCCACTAACACTAGTTTGTTTTCAGACAATGACTAAGTCTGAGAGAATTTCAGGCAGCCCACAAGCTGGTCATTGACCCCCACGCAGTGAACAGGGGGAATGTCTGGTTAATGGGCTAAGGCTTACACTTCCCTGCAATGAAAGGTTCATATCTTAGAAGTATCAGTTCAGCAATTGTGTGTCCATCAACATTTCCCCCCCCCCCACTACAGTGTGGTGCCCATCTAGGTGCTGAGCCTAGCTCCAAAAGTGGCTGTATGCCAGCAGTACCCTAGGTATATAATTTCTGAGGGGTTATGAGCTCCTTGCAGTTCAAAGGTGCTGTATAAATATAAAATAATATTCCAATTCTTGAATTTACCACCTGTAAAATATAGTAGTACTGTACTTGCAGCTTCTTTTGAGGTGGCTAAATCAAATAGTTTGTGAAATTCTTATTATTAAATGATTTGCACCACTGGCCAATCAGTATCAGACTTCCTGAGTGTATAAAGCTGAAGACATGCCTGGAATCTTCATATTTGGTGAGAATAAGATTAGGGATCTACAAAAATATCACATTTTCTTATTAAAATAGGTTACACTGTACTGGCAGTCAAAGAGTAATGTACACAAAGTTGTTCCAACCCTCATGTACTTGGTTCAAAGTTCTTTGTTATCAAACTTTTCAACATGAGCAATTAGTAACCACAGCACTTTCTCCTAGTTGCTTTTCCTCCAAATGTGTGTTTTGGTCTTTTGAAGAGCTACTCTACTATCCTGACTAACCCTCGTCCAACAAGTTCTACCTCACCTCAGACTTAACTCTTACTCTTGCAGGAGGAAAACTCGGCCCCTTTGTGATGTGAAGGCTAACTCCCATCACTTAGAAGGGAATGTCTGTTGGACTGGAAATAGCCTAGATAGCTGCATAACATTATTTGGTAAAACTTAAAAAAAACCAAATAGACTAGTAGCACCTTAAAGCCTAACAAAACATGTAGCTGGTGGTATGAGCATACCATCTACTTATTTGTTAGTCTTTAAGGTGCTACTAGACTTGTTTGTTGTTTTTAAAGTTTTTCCTGTTACAGACTAACTTGTTTACCTCTCTGAAGCTTTTGAACATTATATGGTGATTCTCTTCTACATGGCCCTTATGTTTTCCTATACACAGATAAAAGGTATTGCTAAATTAGAACTGTAAATACAGTTTACCTTAATTTGTACATGTGATTTATGGTTAGTACTGGTTATCAGTGAGCCTGGTCCCTCTTTTTCCTTTTTTGCGGTTTCATAATTTCTGTGTTTTTAGACTTCTGCAAATAATCACTAGTCATGTGTCAGAGAACCATTAGTCATGTGTCAGAGAACCATTAAGTGGTCAGTACAAATTAATAAACTATGTAATGTGAAGTATTTTTTTTCAATCTGTATGCATCTGATTAACTAAATGTAACCATCTGTTGTTCATAAGATGGATAAAGCTTTTAGAACAGCCTAGTTTGTTTTATGGGAGGGGAGTGCTGAAAAGCAGTGATTCAGTCCCAGTCTGCATGGTAGTTGATTACACATCCAGGATATAGGACAGTGAAAGAACAGACTTAATTTGCTTTAAAAACATAATCCAGATGTTGCCCTTAGAAAATATTTATCTAATAATACTCCAGTTAACATGTTTCTGGCACCTTCCCTCCATGGATCTCAAAGTGCTGTACAAATATCATTTGATCAAACTTAGTTTCCCTAAGCCCTCAAATGGGAATAAAAATACTTCCTTGCCACACTTGTGTTTTGCAGAGTGCATTCAACTCTGTGGATGCAAGATGCTGCAGCAATGCAAGGTATTAGTACAGTAAAGTTCTCTTAGGGGCTAAGCGTGACAAAAGCAAAAAGCATAAATGGCAGTACTGTCCTGTATTGTTTCCAAGTTGAAGAGCAAAGTTTTGAAATGCCTCTTCTTTCCCGGTCTCTATATCTGGTAAGAGTGATCTTGTAAGGGCTGGTCTACACTCAACTTTGATATCGATGTAACTATATTGGTTTAAAAACCAACCCCCTGGCATGGCGGTAATTACACAAGTATAAAGTGCTTACATCAGCATGGCTCATTTCCATCCATTTAAACAAAGTTCCCAAGAAGCCTTACATTAAAAATAGGGATGTCAACATGTAGTCAGAGGATTAATTGATAACCCTGGGTGTATTAGTTAATCCTTTCCAATACACACACTCCCCCTCCCTGCTGCCTCAGAGCCGCCTCTACCACACCCCTGCGGAGGCTGAGGGAGGCAGGCGGGGAGCCACACTGGAAGCCTGAGGACGTGCATGGGAGCCGTTGCTGTACCCTGCCCCTCGCTGCTGCCTGTCAGAGGCACCAGTGTGGGAGCCGATACACATGGGGAGCCAAAGCCAACTGTACCACGTGCTGGCTTCTTGGAGCTGCCTGTCCTCCCCCCCTCCCACAGAGGCAGTGGGGGAGGGTAGGAGCCGGTTGCTTGGGGGAGCCAGTGCCATGGAGCAGCCTCTGTCCGTGCTAGCAACAGAGATTACTCCCTGGGGACGGAGGTTACTCCACAGGATGCCTATGCAGCCTCTGTCCATGGGAAGCTGGGTGGCAGGGGGCTCCGTGGAAGTGGGGCTGGGAGCGCATTGCCCTGGGGACTATCAAATAGTCGTGTAACTGCTGAAATTTGATGCAGTTACACGATTATTCAATTAACCAACATCCCGAATTAAAAATGCAGGTTGAACCTCTCTAGTCTGGCACTCTCTGGTCCAGCAACATCCACAGTCTGGCATGATTTTATTTAGGCAGATGCTTCACTTTTCATGGGTATAGCCAAGTTTCCGGTGGTCCCATAAAGTCTGTTTACAGCCACCGGTCCTGGCGTACAATGTTCTGTGCTGTATTTTAGCTCTAATTTACCCCTAAATGTCTATTAAGAGTCCAGTAAGCTGTGGGAGTGTTGATAATGCTGCTAGACAATATTGACCTCCCATGGTTGGGCAAATTCTCCAGTTCATGGGTCAGGTTCCAAGGGTGCCAGATTAGAGAGGTTCAACTGTACTACCCTATTCTGCAGTAATGATCCAGAAGCCTGAAGAGAGAGTCCTCTCAGTCACAGCACTTTGCATCAATGACAGTAGAATATGGTAACATTTTAGATATTTACTATTTAAAATATTATTAATATTAAATTTTATTAAATATTAATAAATGAATGATTTGTAGATGCTGCTGCATAAAGGTTATGAGTTTGAGAGAAGATTTGCAGTGTCAGATGAGTGAATTCTCTCCATCCTGCTAAAGTGAGAATTCTGTGGCTTGCCTCCTTTTGTTTTCAGGCAGACAGGAAAGGAATGGTTGGAAGCGTGGGAATGGGGAGGGGCAGAAAACAATCACCCTGTTGTCTGATGCTGAATATTCCAGGCTTGAAAGATAATTGAAATGGTGACATGTTAAGTAAATTATCTTGCAGAAGCAGCAAATTAACAAACAGCTCCCCCAAATCCTTAAACATAGGTAGGATTGTATTTAAACTATAACAATTAAGAAGCCAGCCTGAATGCTTTGCATGATCACTGGTGTCTTTCCTGTCCAAAGTTTATGCAAAACTTTATCTGCATACATGTCTTTTGTGGATGATGATGATGATGATGATGATTATGATAAACCATTGAACTTCTGTTCTGAAATGTGATTTGTCCTTTTCATATTTGTTCATTTTTTTAAATTGTATCCTTTGGTATATATGGTTGTGACTATTTTCTTCTACTATTTGATCTGAGGAAGTAGGTCTGGCCCATGAAAGCTCATCATCTAATAAACCATCTTGTTAGTCTTTAAAGTGCTACATAGTCCTGTATTTTGTTTCATTGAATTTCAGTGGGACAAGGAGTTTGTTTACTCTGGGCTACTTAGATTACCTATTCTTACATTAAGCAACAAGTGGCAGCTTGAGTTTTGATAATGGTTATGTTCCCTGCAGCTGCAGCAGAGCTCCCAGCAGGGTTTTGTTGTTCACTCTGTTCTTTACTATTTTAAACTATTTAGGTGAATTCCTGACCCTAGTGAAGACAATGGTAATTTTGTCATTGACTTCAGTGAGGCCCTGGTTTCACTCTTACTCTTTACACATCAGAAGAAGGAATTTTCTCTTTAGATAGATGATGTAAAGATGGACCCAAGTCACAAGACTTAGATATATGGAACAAGATCTGGATGTCAGCTTCCTCAAAATTCACATTTACAGAAAATGCCCCAAGCTTCAAGCAAAATACAGGACTATGTAGCACTTTAAAGACTAACAAGGTGGTTTATTAGATGATAAGCTTTCGTGGGCCAGACCCACTTCCTCAGATCAAAGAAAAATATATATATATTTTTGATCTGAGGAAGTGAGTCTGGCCCATGAAAGCTTATAATCCAATAAACCATTTTGTTAGTCTTTAAAGTGCTACATAGTCCTGTATTTTACTTCAGCTACACCAGACTAATACGGCTACATTTCTATCACCATGCTTCAAGGTTTGACTCTGGGAAGGAACTTCCCCAAAGTGCAGAGATGGAGAGTGGGTTAGTGGCTGATGTATAGGCTATTTTCAGTCCTCACTGAAGGAAGATCCCTTGTGTAAGGGAACTAAATGTCTAAATTCTAACTGTTAGAGGCCAGAGCTAATAAAATTATTTGCAACATAAGTGACTTAAATATTGCAGATACATAAACTTAGCTGAATTCTGGACATCCAGTTTATGACCACAGAGATAAAAATGTAAGAGTATTCTTGCATATCAGGTATCTGGTTGTAATTAAATAAATGTGAAGTCAGGATTAACTCTATAAATCATTACTTGCTGTAGCATATTGGTGTTTCTTAAAATAGAAAGGGTTTTTCTAAACATAGGAGCTTTAGAAATATGGCATATCTGTACTTTCAGTGAATTAACTAGGGTACTGCCTTCTTTCTACCACAGCTCCAGGACACATATTCCAAGAGTGGCATTGCTTGTCTCACTGGGGAAGATCTGGGAACTTTTGTGAGAAATGTGGATCTAAATGAAAATGAAGAAAGAGAGAGTGACCCCTGCTGGCAAGTGAAATGGCAACTAGGAAAGATAATTAAAAAGGTAATTTGGAACTTTCACACAGACCAAATAGTGGAACTTTGTTAGCCAGATTGCTTCAGAGAGTTAAGCTCCAACTAATGAAGTAAAATGCAAATCCCAAATGGTTTCCTTGCATTTTAATGGTCAAATCACAATTCCAGATTATAGTGGAATTCTGCTTTCAGTGGAGTTCTTCTGAGAACAAAAATTTACCCCTAAAATTTCACTACAAGAATGTCATTGTATTCAGAAGACAGAAAATACAGGTGACTAAATATTATCAAGTTTGTCTCAAAGAGGTCTTAATTCACTAATGTTTGTCTGGCATGCCCACGATGTAGAATGTCTGCCCTTTTCCACATTTGTGGCAGAGCGTAGAGATGTAAGGCCTGATTTTCCTTTCACTCACACTAGTAAATCAGGAGTGATTCCACTCAAGACATGGAAAAATGTAAAAAGTGTAAGATCAAAAATCTTGTCCATAGTCCCTGCTATCTTAAAACCACTTTTCAATTCCTGTTTCACAATATACAAAGAACAGGTATGTCATGAAGCAATGACAATTTTATTACAATCTAAACTGGTATTCTCACTCCTTCCATTCACCACATCCTTGCCCATCAAAGTTAGGTATTCTGTGTCTGTATCATTTAAAATACACACATCCACACTACTAAAATTATATAGGCTTATCATTAATACTTTTTTTGCTCATACTTTTATTGAAAATGTAATGTTGAAGTTTTACTTTGAATAAGGAAGGTGTTGCCAACCTGTTTAGGTTGAGACCCACTGATCTAGTAAATTAATAGTAATTTAATTATTATATAATGATGTGCTGGCAGTCTATATTGGCCTAAACTGAAGTCCAAGGAATTATTCCAAATTTATACTGGTATAACTGAAGGCAGAATTTGGCTCACAATATTAATTTGGTAGGTTTCTACAATGGAAAAATTCATAAATATTTTTCTGCACCAATGCAGTCCTGCAATTAGACAATATAGTGGGGGGAGAAAGGCCCTTCATCTGTCTGTACCATACTGCTATCACTGAAGAACACTTAGATTTCAGAATGTTTCCTAGAGAAGCAACTGCTGCATATGCATAGTAGCTACTCCCCAAATCCATGTAAATAGTATGCTAGAAAGAAATATGTGAAGTTAGTGAAGTGCAGATTAAGGTATCCCAGAGCCATTACACTCTGTAATCTTGGTATTCCTCAGATAATGGCAGCAGCTCTTGCATTTCCATGGAGATGACAAAGATTTTGTTGTTCTCATTAAAATCTGCAGAGGAGCCACCGTGGCTTATACTGTCTTGCTAGTGTATTCAGAATACCCTTCCCTTGAGACTGGAACCATCAGTTACAGTGAAGAAACAAAAGGAAAAACTATGTAGCACTTTAAAGACTAACAAGATGGTTTATTAGGTGATGAGCTTTCGTGGGTCAGACCACTTCCTCAGATCATATTATGGAAATGAAATGAAAGCTCATCACCTATTAAACCATCTTGTTAGTCTTTAAAGTGCTACATAGTTTTTCCTTTTGTTTTAGCAAGATCAGACTAACACGGCTACCTCGCTATTACTAGTGAAGAAACAGTAATGGCTTGGAGTATTTTTGCTTAACAAAAAACTAACATCAAAATTACATGAGAATAAGATGGAATCTGATTTAAAGCCAAGAAAGCCAGGAAATTTATGAATGAAAACTTTCCACATCAATCTTATTTCAAGCTGTCGAATGTTAAGTTTTGTGGTAGGCTGCCTGAGAACAGAATATGAGATTTTACTATAGTAACTAAGTCAGCCATATTCTTGCTGTTCTATATATACTAGCATATTTACCTGGCTTTGCTCTGGTCATTGAGAAGGGCCTCAGGGCAGGGGCTTAGGAATGTGGGGGATTTAAGGGAGGGGGCAGGGGATGAAGGAATCAGGGTTGAGATGTGAGGAGGTGCTCAGAGCAGAGGGTAAGTGGTGCAGAAAGTTGGCCAGATCCCTAGGGGTGGATGGGGTAATTGCTCAGGCTGCAATTTCCTGGGGCTGCCAGGCAATAAGGGCCTTAGTTTTGCCATTGACTCCAATGAGGTCCTAGTGAAAACCCCTGGGTCTAATTCACCTGTTTTACCAGGGTTAATCTGAAGTAACTCCTGTGAATTACTCCATAATCAAATTACTCCAGATTGACACTAGAGTAATTGCAAACAGAATCTGATGCCATTAACGCTATATTTCCCCTTATTGAGAGCTTAGTCAGGGGCCAGATTTTCCAAAGAATTTTAATTCCCAGTTGAGTGAGTCTTTTGCAATCTGGTCGTATATATTTACAATTATTTCAAAACAGTTTGTTGTGAGAAATTGATAGTTTCTCCTTGATGTCCGCTTTCATTTCCAAATAAAAATTTGTCTGTTCAGTGGTGTGGTATATAAAGCGTCTGTGGGACAGTTGTGTTTCTGGCATCTTTGCAACTGATCTACTGGTTTCTCAGAAAAAGAAAACAATTTTCTTAATGTATGTTTGCAGATGATATCAAGAAACTATGAGGAAAACATTTCATCTGCTATGAAAGGTATTTTTAATATAACCTTTATTTAGTACATAGAAAAGCACCTGTCTTGGACGCCTAATGCAGTAGTTGTGTACGTGTTTTCCAATTGTAGAGACTAGTTCCTAATTTCTTACTCAGTTGTACAGTTCTTCAGCAAAGCATGGGAAATAAGTAACTTAGAGTTAGTATTCTTAAGAGTCATACTGAACAGTCAGAAAATGTGACCAAGTCATTAGAATATTAGAGTTGGCTTCTGTTTCTGTCCCTTATTCAGTGATTGTATGCAATCCATTTACCCTCTCTGTGCTTCAGAGAACAAATGATTCTTAGTTGTTGTGCAGCTACAGTAATTAAGGATTGGGCACAGCACTCCTCTGAAACTGATGCAAAGCCTCTCACCCCAGGAGAACTATCAGGAAGCATTCTGGCTCAAAAAGTCAGAGATAATTTTGCTTGGGTGAAGACATAGAATTTAACCTTAAAAATATTGATCCTTTCCATGAGCATATAAGGTTTTCTGGTATAGGGTATTTTGTAAATGCAGGGATTTTGGCACTGAGTTTGGGCAGGAAAACATATAAGAGGCTTTAAAAAGCATTTCAAAGAGAGCATTTCTGAGATATTTTGACTGTAACAACCACTACACTTCAATCTCTCTTTGATTTGTCAAATAAAAATATTTTGACAAACACATAAATCCTCAAATACTATCAATTTAGTAATTAGACAGTCACATATCTCCATTGACATGACAATGGCTTTATTGTTTCTCTAATTCTAATCTGAGATTAAAAATGGCTATTTCTCGTTTTCATATAGCTGAACGTTCTCTTACTCTTCCAGTAAGTGAAGAACAGGGATCTCAGAACCGCGGACACAGAATAGCAGCTCACTTAACTGGAAGCAGCAATAAGAAGAGCTCTCTATCCACATCAAGTAAGATACTTAGCTGTATTGATTAAAGGAAAAAAATACATAAAAAAATAGGGAAAAATCACTGAATTGGTGTTCTTTATGATTTTCCAGGAGTGAATATAACCAGATTGATTATTATAGGCACACTTCTCTGCTTGTTTCTCATGGACTTAATGAAAGGTTTTGGACAGCTAACTCCCCGCTAGTTTTGGTTAGAATAATTATTCAGCCCACTCCAATAGAAGTATTAAACCCATTCAGTTTGGATATCTGGAAATGCACCTTCTTTCGGTGTCTTTAGCTTTTTTTTTTAACAAAATAATCTTTCTTCCTAACTCTGTTCCCTTTGTAGTAAACTATAGCAATAGTCACATTAAAAAAATAGAAGAGACTTGACATTTCCATCAGATTTACTGAAGAACCTGCTAAGGTTCTCACACCTTAGGGGAGAACCCAGAATTCAGTTAGAAGTCTCACATTGTGTTGCTCAGTAACCACGTAGCAACATGGGTCCTGATTTTCTTTCTGTGTTTCAGGCAACATGGGGAAAGAACAAAAATGCAAAGATCAGAATTAAAATGAGTCCTCACAAAGTGAAATGCTGAATTTCTACTTTTAAAACTTGAAATCATAGTGAGATTGGACCTGATCCTGTGCTATCTGAAGCCAATAGATGCAGGATCTGGCATATTGCTCTTACTCAGTTTTTGAAAAACAGTCTGAACGTCTGTCTAGGAGACTGTGGACTTTGTTGCATGCAACATTATTTAGCTCTGAATTCTTCTCTATTTTTTCCCCTCACATAGATTCCTCATCCAGAAGAGGTGTTGGGCAGAAAATAAATACCTGGGAGTCCTCAAGGAAAGGTCATTCATTCCTCTATAACGTGGAGTTGAAAAATGGGGAGTTAATCATACCCAGAACAGGGTTTTATTACATCTACTCTCAAACTTACTTCCGATTCCGTGAACCCGAGACTGAGGATTCAGAATCAGATTTGTTAGCACAAGTTAGAAACCCTAAGCAAATGGTCCAGTATGTTTACAAACTGACGACTTATCCAGAGCCTATTCTGCTCATGAAAAGTGCGAGAACCAGCTGCTGGTCTAAAAAGGCAGAATATGGACTTTACTCCATATATCAAGGTGGAGTATTTCAGCTCAAAAGGCATGATAAGATTTTTGTCTCAGTCAGTAACGAGGACATGGTTGACATGGACAAAGAAGCAAGTTTTTTTGGAGCCTTTTTGATCAGCTGAATGATTAACATAAAACCAGATCCCAAAGGAATCATTTTTAAAAATCTATAATCAAAAATGGCAGAGGTGGGCAGAAGCCCCTGTGACAACACAGTGAATTCAAAACAATAATGACAGTGCAAGATTCTCACTATCATTTCATCACATCAAAGGTTTGATTGCTCTGAGAAATGATCCTGAAAGTCAATAAGGAAGAACACTAGCTGCCCAGTACTGTGCCTTTTATAATTGCACAGCAAATCCCCAGACATACTAGGCATTGCCTGGATTTTAATATGTCAAAGATTAATAGCTTTGACTAAAACCAGATCAAGTGCAGCCAGGCACTGTCCAGATTTCCCCGTATCACTGTACCTAAGCATCTCAAAACCTCATTTGTGGCAGACCCTTTGCAGGAAAGTTGGATTTGCACAGAGACTAGATGGAGACGATAGACTTGCATAGGGGATTGGATTGAGGTTGGAAAACGGATTTGATCGTGAACTACACTTTGGATCCTATGCTGCTGATTCTCCTGTGAATAATCTTTACAGAAGCAGAAGTCCCTCTGATTCCAGTTGAACTACTCTCCTCAGAAAACTTTGCAAGATCATGTCCTGTGTTTCAATCATAGATTTCATAAAATGAAAGGCAAGCAAATAATTAAACCACGGCAACATCTAACCACATACTTAACTTTCACATACGAGTCCTCAATTTGAAATCAGTAGGAAACTCATGTGCTTAGTTAAACATGTGCTTAAGTGCTGTGTGGGATCACAGCCCGAATAAGGAGATTATTTTTTGTCTTTGTTAGTGTATAGGTGACAGAAAAATGAAGTGACACAGCAGAGCCATTGAAATCAGTAAGTCAATACTACAAGTTCTCAGTACATTTTGGTATTTCCATATCTGCTTAGTTGATTAATCTTATACTGCAGAGATTTCACCAGACTTACACTATGCTCAAACTATACTTACTGAGAATGAGTATTTGATCCAGAATCCAGGTGTTTTCTTTTAAATGTTGCATTCAGAGTACTACATTATTTGTCTCATATTAAGTATGATATGTTTTTTCTATGTTGATGGGTATGGAGCCATGGGACGTGATGTGATACAGAATAATGAGCTTGATGAATGAGATTTGAAAAACATTCTCATTTCTAGAGAGGATACATGTGCTGATTTTAGTTAATACTGTTTAAAAATTTGTTTTATTTGCAAGACTATGAGCGGAAGACCACTTAGCATGTGTTTTTCTACCCGAGTTGAATATTGTATTTGTTAGCTGTAAGATTAGAATTTTTTTTTCAAAAGTGAAAGTATTGCTAATAATAAGTAATAGAGCCAGATCTTCAGATGGCGTTTCAGGTAGTGTAAGTCAGCAAACCTCCAGAGCATGTCTACACTAAGGAGAAGATCGACCTTCTGGAGGTTGATCTTCTAGCATTCGATTTAGTAGGTCTAGTGTAAACTCCCAAATCAAATGCTGAGAGCAGTCCCTGCCAGCATCCTGTTCTCCTCATTCTGTGAGGAGTAAGGGAAGCCAACAGGAGCATGTGCTCCTATCAGCCTCCCGCAGTGTAGACACTTAAGGTAAGTTGAATCCAGCAATACATTTTGTGAAACTGCCTGGTCTAGTGTAGACCAAGCCCCAGTGACTTTAGTGGAACTACGCCAATTTACACAAGGGCTGTGTCTAGACTGCATCCCTTTTCCGTAAAAGGGATGCAAATTAGACACATCGCAATTGCAAATGAAGCGGGGATTTAAATCCCCCCCACTTCATTTGCATAAACATGGCTGCCGATTTTTTTCCAGCTCGGATCTTTGCCGGAAAAAAGCACCAGTCTAGACGGGGATCTTTCGGAAAATAAACCCTTTTCCGAAAGATCCCTTATTCCTCTTAAAATAAGGAATAAGGGATCTTTCAGAAAAGGGTTTATTTTCTGAAAGATCCCC